AAGTGACAAACCTCATTGAGCAGCCTAGATGATTTCTAAATGAGCATCATAGCTCTGTGATTGTGTGTTTCAAGACATTAATATAGAAATTATTTTTCTTCAAGGACCTAATCACATGCCTATGCAGGGGCCTGGACCGAACCAGCTCAACATGACAAACAGTTCCATGAACATGCCTTCAAATAGTCATGGTCCATGGGAGGTTATAATCATTCAGTGCCATCCTCTCAAAGCATGCCTGGACAGAATCAGATGACAATGAGCCAAGGACAGCCTATGGCAAACTATGGTCCTAGACCAATATAACCATGCAACCAAATCAAGGTAAATGAATAAATTTCTACTCTTTATTATTATTTATTATTTCTATTTAATTAATTTGTATACCACCCTTCATCTGAAGATCTCAGGGTGGTTCACAGCATAAAATTCCTCCTTTTCATCAAATAAGATAAAATGATTTCAAGGTGTTTATTTGGAACTGAGTTATGCTATTGAAAAGTAGAGTTGGTTTCTGATCTTTACTTGTTGAAAATGTCTGAAAAATAGGTTTTTTTATCAGTTAAGAGTTCAGAAAGCAAAGTGAGCCAGACAGAGCAGCTGTGAATCCAAGCAACTTGGATTTTCCACAGTTGCCACACAGTGAAACAAGGTTTCTGTGAACAACTGTTAAATCATAGCAGGTTTTAGTCTGTAGGTAGGAAGCAGAGTTGGCACACCACTGTGATTATAATAAAGAGAAAAGATACCTAAAATTATATGTTGACAGGTTTTCCAAGTCTTTCACACAGAGGACCTGAAGCAGGGTTTTAGCAAATTGTTAAAGCAAACACAAGGTTGTGTTGCAGGAAATCTTAGATTATAGTCTTCAAGATCCTGTACTATGCTAGGTCAGCTGAAGCCAATGAAACTTTTCTAGCATATTCAACACTTTACAGTATAAGGTTTGTCCATCCTTCTGTTTTTTGTCTATTAACTACTATATTTTGTATATTAGTCTTAAACTACTTTTTGTTTATCTTGTAGAAAAAGATTTGCAAGACATTTTGTGTTTCTGGTGCCCCAAAATTGTTATTTGTCAAAGCTGATAATTAGAAAAGTTAATGTTTCTTTTTGTTTGTCTTGAATGTAGGTTATAGTTAGAATGAATGCATAAAATTTTGCTATGGCTTTTCTCACTGTAGGCCCAATGATGCACCAGCAGCCGCCTTCTCAACAGTATAACATGCCCCAGGGAGGTGGGCAACATTATCAGGGACAGCAGCCACCAATGGCAATGATGGGTCAAGTTAACCAAGGAAACCATATGATAGGACAGAGGCAGATTCCTCCATACAGACCACCACAGCAAGGTAAGATTCAAAGTTGCCAATTTTACCACTTGATTAATTAACACATAAAAAACTTTCAGCTGATTTTCTTACCTATATCCTATTCTATCTATATTCTTGACATACATTCTGTATTTATCTACACTTTTCAGAGAAGGCCACAAAAGTTTATAGTACACAATTTTACGTGTGCACCTGCCTGCTCTGTTTATCATTTCAGGCCTAAAAGAGTGAGCTTTTGCAAAGCTTTTCTGCCTCAGAACATGAAGGCAAATCCCCAAACAAGTGGCTATTTCCAATCCTGTACTATTATGTTTTCCCCAAAATAGTACTTGAAGCCAAAAGGTCACTATTTTGGAATTAAATGTTGAAACCTATATTTTTCTGTTCTAATTTTTTTTTAATCAAAAGTTATATAAAAAGATAAAACTTCGCTTAATTCTATGTTCAGTATATGGAATACTGTACAATCTGTACTAATGTAGAGTGGAATTGACAAGTTGCACACTAGACAAGATGAGATGGTTTTCAACAACTATCTACTTTTTCTTTTTTTAAGAGCAACAAGTATGTATATATATATACATATATAGATATTGTCTTTCTGTTTTTAGAAATTTATATTCGCATCATCTTGGGTATATAATTCAGTCAAGTTACTGTATATATATAATACATACCTGTTTAGTCACAAAGCATTAAGTATGCTTTCTGAAACACAGTGACACGGGTGGGGGAAGTCTTAGATGAGGACTGTTTCTCATAGTAAACTGAGAAATTAGTGAGCGTGCTAACAGAGAAAATAAGTTATTTACATATTGACTGGTTGTGGTTTTTCAGGCCCACCACAGCAGTACTCAGGCCAGGAAGACTATTATGGGGACCAATACAGTCATGGTGGACAAGGTCCTCCAGAAGGCATGAACCAGCAATATTACCCTGATGGTAATTTCTCATAATATTAATTTTCCCATTTTACATACCTGCCCATTACCAGTTATATATAAAGCTATTTGATGAACAACTTTTAGCAACTGATCACTAGAACACTTCTTATATTTACTAAAGCTTGTAAGTTCAGTAATCTGAAACCCTACGGATAACTTTATTTTACAGCTCACTCAAAGTATAAACTTTGTAACTTCAGTTCTAGTACCCTGATACAGATTTTATCAAAATTCCCTCTTTTGGCTCTTCAACAGTGAAGATATATTAAATTCTTCACTGTTTGTAGGACACTTGATGCAGTCATGTACTATGCCTGCTTTTCAATATCATTTTGCTTATAAAAAGAAATTTTAAAGCTCAATACTTAAGAGCTGTTAACAAAACAACCAATATGCTTTCAAAGTCTTTTCTCTCTGTGTGTTTTAAGAGCAAGCTGCAGTTGCAATTACTTTGGCCCAGTTCGTGGCTGCATTCTATGCTTCTGTTGCAGAATTCTAGATAACTCCATTTTTCCTTTTAACATCTGATATTGGAAATCACATAATTTTGGGAAGTACAAATTCTGGCTCTTAGCATTGTAAAATTTTCTCTTAAATTAGAAATTCTTATCGTATATTATAGGGAAATGCAAGGATGTTCCTCAGGAAATGAAATTTTTAAATTCAATTTTAATGTATGGTAGTAAAGGCAAATTAAAATATATTGATGGATTCATTGCTACTGTAAGAGCTAACATGACACTTTGTACATTAATTTGTGGCACACAATATAATATCTTTTTCAGAGCAACTATTTGTTGCAAATTAATTGTGTGGTGTGTTTTTTTAACGTGTGCAGATAGAATTTGCTGGTATTTACCACATTTTTTCATTCATCACCATCATATTCATGGTTTACTTAATCCACATGTCAGGAAATCAGATTTCCACACCCCTAATTATGGTTCAAGTTAGAGCCAGTTTTGTAACATGTAAAAGTATGGTAAGGCAGAGTCACACAAAAGCACTCTTTCAAATTCTATCAATCACTGCTACAACTTCCCCCTTGGAAGCCATACTGTGTCTTATCTGGCTGCTAGATTTTATGCACAAGACCAAACCAAAAGTGTAAGCCGCCAAGAGAACGTGAACTATTGAGTGGCTTATAAATGGTATAAAATACATAAAATCATGTTTTCAGCTGTGGCATAGGTAACTTTTGTGAACATTTTGGACAGTCCATTTGCAGCTAGATGAATTAGAGCCACTATGTTCTGCTCTGTTCTTTTCTGTTTGGCAAATGCAAGAGTTGTCTTGTATAACATGATCTGCAAATCATGTCTTTAATTATGAAAAGGCATTTTTAACTGACAAAAAGTAGGGTATGGAATATGCAGTTGATTAAAATTTGGGATGCCTATGATCAGGAATGATTTTATATACAGATAGTAGCCACAAAAGTTGAAAGCATTTTGAAAAATGTAGTACTACTTTTTAACTAAAAGAAGCATATTATTACTGACCATGGTCAATATTACTTAATGAAGTAGATTTCTAATTACAAGCAGGAGAAATATGTGAGAACTTAAAGCAAGCATCAGGTAGGATGTTTCTTTTACCAACTGGATCCTAATGGCAGGTGTCCATAGCATTTACTCATTGCACTTATACGATAAAGGAGAATTTGGAAGGAAAGCTGTCCTTTCTCTTGTGTCCCCCCCAAAAAAAAGGATTGCTGTGGATAATAGTTACATTGGGGCAGGGGAAGATAAGTATTATTTTTTAGATATGCCATACAAAAAAAAGCAATGAAGTTTTTTGGAAGTTCATTGTAGTGTATGCTGCTTTTAGCAGCATATGCTTTTGAATTGGAAATCAGTAGAACAGGTGTATGATAATTGGTTTCTTTGTTCATTCTAATTAAATTCAGGTTATTTACATGTGAAAGGACTAAATGCTTTATTTTTTTTAAAAAAAGACAAAAGTACTCCCACCCCCACCCCACAACAAAGATGATCAGAAGCTTAAGACTATCCCTCACTGTGATGTTGCTAGAACTACTTCATTAGCTGACTTTTTCATATCACGTGTTAATTCCGTATAAAAGGAAATCCTATTGGTAAATCCTTCTAAATCAATTTGAAGGTTCTTTTTAATGTATTTCCAGCTGACACTGATTTTTCAGTAAGATGAAAACTTCTTAGGATTTTCACTCAGAGGCCATTAACGTTTCTTCCTGTCTCTTGTCGAATTGATGTAGGTCATAGTGATTACGGTTATCAGCAACCGTCGTATCCTGAACAAGGCTACGATAGGCCTTATGAGGATTCCTCCCAACATTACTACGAAGGAGGTATCTATATACCTTCACACACACATGCACACATACATTCCTTTTCCTCTTCCCTTCCACAAAGGAACGAAATCTTGCACAACATAACCTATTTCCTGCCCATGCAAAGCTCTTGTAGACTACTAGTCGCTGGCTGTTGAGAACTGCAGGGAACTTGAAGCATTCAAAATAGTTTCTTGCAACATCTAAACCTTAATTTGTCATTTCTAACTGCAGTAAAATGACTAAAACACCGTTAGCATCTATTCAAATCGTACCTTTTATTTAAACATAAATCCATTGGTCCAGTTGTATATTTTGTGTGTATGTGTACATACAAATATAGTGCCATTAGGAAACAGCTTGCTGATTTGTGTAGCTAGTTTGTGCTCTGTAGCTGTCTTTAATTTTGTCCTTTTTTTATTTATTTAGCATAGTCATGGCATTATCAAGTCATGACATCACGTTCCAGTAAACTTAATGCTCATTTGGCAGAGATGCTGAAAAATCTGCAGTTTAGCCTTGCAAAATCTGGCTTTAACTGCAGTTTGTTTGGCCTAATTCCTTCTGTTTTGGTTTGTTTGTTTTCTTGGTTTTGTTCAGTTTTTGAGATCAAGACTGGATTTTCATTTTGTTTTTGTGGTGTTCACTGTGCATATTAAAACAAGTGGGGAAAGAACTAGAAAAAGTGCCTTTAACTGTCCTTGCTTAACCTCATGTTTCAGGAAACGCGCAATATGCTCAGCAGCAAGAAGCCTACCAAGCACCGCCTCAGCAGCAAGGCTATCAACAGCAGCAGTATCCAGGTCAGCAAGGTTACCCTGGGCAGCAGCAAGGTTATGGTGAGTAAATATATAGTCAGGGGTATACAACCTATGGCCCTATATAGTTGAGCTTCAACTCCCATGAGCCTTGGCCATCATGGCCAATGGTCAGAGAGGATGGGAGGTGAAATCCAGCCATTTTTGGAAGGCTACGGTTTCCCCATTACTGGGCTTTCTGCTTTTAGTTTACTCCTTTATCCTTTTGTAGCTGTCTGTGGAACCAAAATGTCAATTTACCAGCAGCAATAGAGCATTTATGCACCAACAGTCACAGAAGGTTCAAATCCACAGGCAGTTTATAAAGCAGGATTATACACACACTCCCCATGTGGCTATGGGGAGAGCATGGAGAGTTTTCACTTCTGTTATTAAACTAACCAGTAAACCATATGCCTTGAAAAATTTGTTTTCAGATAACACTTCTCCACTCTGTTAAAAGTAACATTTGAAAGCAGCAGTTTCAAAATCGTTTTTGACATCCTTTGGCTCAGTTCCCTTCCTACACAGTAATTGGGAAGGCCGTAGGTAGAATATGCCTAATACACACATTTGAATTGCCATTATTTGTAAGTTAGTCTTGTTTATTTCTGTATAACTTCCAAGTCAAATAAACTCAAGATCACAGCCTTCACGGTGTTAATTTAAAACAATATTTTTGGTCTCCTATAAGTTCTGAAATTGAAACAGACTGTGATAAGAGTGCATTTGTGTGTTTTATCTTTTGCTTTTATTCAAACTGAGCAACTCTCAAAATCAGTGTTGCTGATGTGCTAGTTTTTCTAATTTCAGCATCTCTTAATATTTTCTAAAGCTTTAATATGTTTCGTACATAAATAGAAAGATCAGTGCCTAACCTTGCTCTGAACCATTTTGCAATATGAAGTAAACATAATATAGATATTTTCATCCTCATTGAATAACTGCCTAAGATGCAGACTGCAATCTGTGCACGCAAACTGAAGGTCACTGAAGTGAAGCTTCTGTGAACAAATTTCTGCCTGGTTAAGGAATTCATTGGGTTGTATCCAATGCAATATTCGTACAAGGATGCTTATATAGAGGGAATTCTGAAACCCCCCCCCCCCTTCCCACTGCAGCCCCTTTCACCCTTGAAAAACTTTTCCCAAGACAAAGGCATCAGATGCCATTGGGGGCGCTGGCAGAGAATTGGGTAGAGGTAAGTTGCACTCTCCCAAGAGTGGCTGGTTTGGTGTGGAGCTGCCCTCCTAACACAGCTGTCACTGCTGTCTTACCTGAGCAATGCTAGGGCAGGGTGGGACCATTGGACTGACACTGCCAGTGTGCCTGCACAGCCCTGCCCCTGCAGCATCTAGGTAAGTGGCAGCAATACCCACCCAGCTGTTGTCTCCTGCTCTTTCCGATATCCAGCCTCCCACTGCAGCCCTCTTGCTCCATTTGCCAGGCCTCAGGAAATGCTTTTCAGGGGGCTGCAGTAGAAAGGAGAGAGTGGGGAATTTAATGTGTGTAAGCATCCTTTTGTTCTTACAGCATTGAATGGACCCAACTGGTAACAGTCAGTGTTGCCTATTAAACAAACATGAGGCTGCCTCAATTATACCAGATCTAAAAGTAAGGGTGTTGTTAGTAAATTTTTATACCATCCTACATCCAAAGATCACAGGGTGGTTTACAGTATAAAGTTGTAGGTCAAGGATGATGGGAGTTGTAGTCCAGAAACATCTGGAAAAACAGATTCCCACCATCCCTGAATACCAGCTGGAGCAGATGCTGCTGCGGAAGACCAGTACCTTCTTAAACTCAACTTTAGATAGCCTTTATAATGTGACTGCTATATAATAAACATTGGTCAGCATCCAGACTACTGCAGCACTAGTACTTTGTGCCCAATAAGGCTTTTAGCAGGTGTTCCTTGAACACCAGTCTTTCCTTCCACATTGCTGGCACCATGTCTACTTTTGAAACAGATGGGACTTCCAAGCATAGTTTGTGATACGGCATGAGAGTTTGCTGTTCAGAGGAAAGTTGTCAGACATCACGCTGAGCATCCATTTAGGTGTCTTAAGGTACACCGTTGAAGTGATATCCTTTATAAGGCAAGTAGGACAAAGTGAGCAAATCTGTCATCTCTGGAAAGCCTTCCCTCTACAGCCCTTGTTGTTGCATTGGCAAGCAGTGTTCAGTAGTGTACTTACATTCATTGTGAGACTTGAATTTTAACTTAATTCCTAGCTGCTGGATTCCATCCTAAACAGCATTCTCTTTTAAACAAGCCAATAACATAGTATTATTTGAAATGTTAACATTACTGTATTTGAGAGAGACTAGATAAATCAGTGATCTGACCCAGTATGGAGGCCAAGTACTGTGGATGTAAACCACACGTTTGCAGCTTTTGTTGAACAGACTTCTTTAAGCAGTATGTATTTTTTTTTCTGGGTAGAGCAAAGAGAATATTGGAAGGTATCGGTGTCTTTCACCAGTGCAAAATGACAAATGTGTCAGCTTGTAGATACATACTCACTATATGATATGTAACAAAAATGCTTCCTAGTGTTGGATCAAGTTAAGTTAATAACTGCGTAAATAGACTTGGCTATATACTAGAGTTCCCCTACTGATTTTTAGATATTCATAGCTCTTTTAGTTTAATTGGATCCTGCAGAGTCTTTATAGGAGGCATCAAAGAATTTGGACACTAGATCCCAACAGCTTTGTTCTAATGTTTTTCCCCAATTGTAGAACAAAGAGATTCCGCCACCAAAAGCTATTGAAAAGGCGGATAGATTGGAAAGTGACAAGTAAAGCTTTGAAAAGAGTTTCTTCACTTGTCTTTGGTGGGCATCTATCTGGTAGGCTCATACCCACACTCTTACTGCCTGCCAGAAAGCAAAAACAACAGGGTGTATTTATTAAGGGGGGGAAGGGTTGTATTCTTTGTACTTTTTTCCAGAGTTTAAACAGAGGGACATGGTAATTATAATTTGGCCTTGTTAAGTCACTGCTATGAGCTCAGCTTAACAAAATTGTCATGTTTGTAAAAGAAGAAAGATAACCATATAAAATGACTTGTATCTTTCAAATCTGGATAGGATAGCAGAAATCATTCTTGCAAACCTGGAGTTATAATATTATGCAAGGAAGAGTCATGAACTTTATATGATTCATGAGGAAAGGTTGCATCATTTAGGCCTTCCTTGTTTAGAGAAAAGGTGAATAAGAAGGGACATGATAGAGGTGTAAAATTATGTGCGGTGTGGATAAAGTGGATAGAGAAAAGTTTGTCTTCCTTTCACATAATAGTAGAATTCAAGAGTATCCAATGAAACTGATTGTTGGAAGATTCAGGACAGACAAAAGTATTTCACGTTGTATTTAAGCTACAGAATTATCTCACTTAAAAGGTAGTGATGACCACTAACTTGAATAGCTTGTAAAGACGATTATACAAGTTTATGGAGATCAAGGCTAGCAATGGCTGTGGAGTTTGGAACTGGCAGGGTTAAAACTCCGTGGTGCCCCTGTATCTGGGAGGAGCTCTGGGAGGAGCTTGATGCAGGGAAATGCGTCACAGTGTTGTGTCTGTGTTCAGTTCTACTTTCACTTCTGACTGAGACAGACACAGCTCAGCTCAGAGGAGCTGTGAGGGTGCTTTTGGAAGCACGGAGAATGGCTGAAGTTTCCGATGGATGTTAATGGATTTATTGCCTGTAAATAAACGCTTCTAAAGATAAGAACCGATCTGCCTATGGACTTGATTTATCCCTTTCTCACATGGACTCAGGACCGCTGCATTACTCTGCTAGGCCAGCTCAGAGCTTCCAGGGATACGGAGCTGAACTGGGAAGCTTGCTGGACCCAATATTCCGGACGGGGATTTTATTTTCACCCCCAGAGGTTATGGATCTTACGTGTTTCCTGACATGTGTGAGAAGGGAGGAAAACTGCCAGCTTTGAGTTGCTGTGATCTCCTGCCAGGAAGGGCAGTGGGAGATGCTGGTGATCGGAGCCAAGAGCCAAGAGAGACGGCTGCTTCGGAGGACCAGCTTGCTGGCAGAGTGAGTACGCTTGAAGCCCCGGGGGGAGGAGATGGCTGCTGCTCAGGCACAGGGCCATGAGAGCTTCAATATCCCCTTCGAAAGGCTGCATGGAGCCAATTGGGAAGCCTGGAGTACACGCATGTACTACTGGCTGGCAGAAAGGAAGCTTTGGGATTACACCCAAGCTGATCCAGTCCTTGCCCAGCCCAGTGAGAGGTCTGCAGGAGCAGTGGAAGCAGACGTGGCTGCTCTGAAGAGAGAGCAAAGGGTGCTAGCAATCCTGAGGGCCAGCGTTGATACTTGGCTGTTGCCAAGGCTGCAAGGGAGTAAGCCCTGGGTCGCGTGGCAGGCACTGAAGATGGCATGTCAAGCCTCAGTGGGAGCCAGGCCAGAGGGGGCTGAGAGTTGCCCAGAGAAAGCATCAAGCCCAGAGGGGGCTGGAGCAGTGTTGGAAAGCTGCTTTTATGCTTCAACACATCTGTGTGATGGACTGTGTGCTGGAGAGAGGCTGAGAGCTGGCAAGAGGAAGGCAGTTGCAAGCTGTTCCTCAGGCAGACAGGCACCCAACAGTGGGGGTGCAGGCCATGCAAGCCGACGCAAGAGCTCTGAGAAAGCGAAAGTCTCCAAGAGTTGTTTGTGCTCTGAGGCGACGTCCAACAGCGCTGGGAAGCATCCGCTGGAAGCCCAGGCTGTCAAGGACACCAGCTGGAGTGGAATGTCAACAAAGCAGGTTCCCAGAGCTAGACGTGGGAAAGCTGCAGGCCAGGAGAAAAACAAAGACAAGGCGTCTTATCATCTCACAGCTGCGACAGTGTGCCTGGGAAAAGGCAAAAGCCTTGATCGGGGGGAGGCTGTGTGCATGGCAACCAGACAGAACACTGACTTTGACTCTTGCAGAGGCCCCGGTGGGGGTGCGAGCGTTGCCATGGCAGCTTTGGAAGACAGCCAGAGAGACACTGTATCTCTAATTATAGACACGGGAGCGACTCACTGTCTTGTGCCATCTGCTGGGCTCCTGAGGAACTGCAAGACAGTTAAAACTGGACGTTATGTCAAAATGGCTGATGGAGTTAAAAGACCACTGACTAAATCTGGGTCTTTATATTGTTCTTTTCTAGATTGTTGGGTGCAAGCTTATGTTGTCCCAGAGCTTGCGCACTCTCTTTTAAGTGTAACAGCCTTAAATGATGAAGGGTTCGATGTTCGGTTCTCTAACAAATTATGCTCTTTTTACAGGGATGGAAAGAAGGTCTACAGCGTTGAGAGAACAGACAGGCTCTTTCTGGTGCAGATGCCTGTTGGAAATGGGGCTGGTGGAGAAGTGGGACTAGTGGAAAATGGGACTGGTGGAAAAATGGGGCTGGTGGAAAATGGGGCTAGTGGAGAGTCCATTGAAGACGCACAAGTGCAGTGTGCTAATGTCCCACCACACAATGATTGTATTCATCTGTGGCACCGAAAATTTTGTCACGCTGGGTGGTCGTCTGTGCGAAAAGCCGCAGAGAACACCATTGGTTGTAGGTTCAAGGCATGTGACAGATACCTTGATTGTCAAGCCTGTAAGCAATCTAAGGTCACAACATGCTCATACCCCAGGTCAGAGAGGCGAACCAGCAAACCCTTTGAACTTGTGCATGCAGATTTGTCAGGACCCATGCCAACACCTTCTTTAGCTGGGTCGAAATGGGTTTTGGTTCTGATTGACGATTTTTCGAGGTTTTCTTGGGTTTTTGCGCTTCAATGTAAGTCAGAAGCAGCTGCACTGATCAGAGATTGGATCACAGCGATAGAGCTGCAGTTCTCTACCAGGGTGATTTCCTTTCAATCTGATCGCGGGGGTGAGTTCACAGGTTCTGCGCTGCAATCGTTTTTCAGGCAGAAGGGTATCAGTCATCGATTGACTGCCCCCTACAGTCCGCAACAGAATGGGATTGCAGAGAGGAAGTTTCGCACACTACAGGAATCAGCAAACGCAATGTTGGCAGATTCGGGGTTGCCACAGCGTTTTTGGGCTGAGAGTTATCGGACAGCATGTTTTGTGCAGAATAGGGTGTACAATTCCAGTGT